CGGCGCGGAGCGCCCCCTGCCGGCGCGGCGAGAGAGGGCGGCGGGCAATGGCTCAGGGCTGAGGTTTGATCAGTTAAAAAAAATGGATCGAGGTAGGGGGAGACGACACACAGCTTGACCCCGAGAAGGGGGATCAAGGAGAAAAAGCACATCTCAAAAAAGTACCTGTCCGAGAAGCTGCAGCCGGCGTGTTTCATGAGGCAGGGTAACGGGTCCCGCCCAGCTGGGAGCGCTCCCTGCTTGCCCTGAGGAGAGAGCAGCTCCGCAGGGGGCACAGAACATTAATAACACCCGGGGGGGGGGAAAATAAAAATTATACTTTCTCCAAGTGTGTATGGACTTACACGAGGAATACAATAATGCAATACAATACCTTCCACACCACTATGAGGAAAAAGAGAAAGGTAAGCCTTAGCAATAAATACATACCTTGATGATTTACTCTCTCCCCACAAAGCCTTCAGTCATTTAAATTAATTCTGCTGCAAATATTGCAAGCAAAAAATTCTGACCTAATCATAACCCTCCTGAAGTTTACCTCAGCAATACAAAAAAAACTTTAAAAGACACTTCTCAAATTAAAGGCACCTGGCTTCACATTGAGAAAGATTTGTTGAGAGTGTAACATTTAAAAGAAAAATAAAATAAAATGTAAAAAATTTCAAAGCAAATTTTAAATTATTGCCTTTTAAGAAGCAAAATAAGAACAATTTAGCTTAGAAGGGTCTCTTAAGCCCATTGGGTCCAACCTCTGCTCAGGCTGCACAGGGCTCCATCCACCCAAGTCCAGAGCAGCTCCACGGATGCACGTCTCCCCCATCCCAAATTCTGTCAGAACTCCCATGGCAGCTAAGGGCAATTTTCCTGATGCTGACAGTTTCCACTCATCCCTTCACTGTGCAGCTAGTGAAGAGTTTGGCTTTTCTTCTCTGTAATCAACCATTAGGTGGTTAAAGACAGCAGTCAGATTCCTCTCTTAATAATCTTCTTTTTAGGCTAAATAAACCTCATTAAGTGATGCACTACACTTTACTTGCTAATTTCCAGGAATTTACAGTACCATTTTTGATTGCGCAAGAGACCAGTAAAGCAGCAGAAATCTGATGGAGAGAAGGCAAAGCCATTGTTTACAACACTGCCACAAATAAAGAAATAATATTTTCCCATAATCACCTGTTCAGAGCTTGTATATTATACATAATATTAGCATTGAGGAAAAAACCAGACTCTTTTAAACAGACTAATTGTTTGGAAACAGGACAAAGTAGTACAGTAATTTCAACTAAATTAGAACAGTTATTTAATTTTAATAAATATAAAAACAAGAAATTGGCACTAACATCTTTGTAATTTTTTCATAACACAAAAATAATGCATTAAAAACAATGGTATGGAAACGCACAAAGGCATTTCAGTTAAGGCTTCTACAGATACTGCATCTTCTGTAATTAAACATCTACTTTGTAAACTCGTTCTAAAACTTTCCAAGTAACTGAACAATAAAGATCAGTTTAACTTATATTCCATTGTGAGGCTTAAGGGAGAAAAGTACTTCGTAAAATAGATAATTAGCCATCAAATTAGTAATTTAAATATGTATATACTTGGACCTCACCAAAATGATACACTTGAAAGGCAAGCCTCATTTGAAATATTGATCCCATTAAGTTCGTTAGATTAATCCCTGCTAAACCATCTAAGCAAACTACTGTATTTCACAATAAGAATGAATCTGGCTTTTGGCTAGCATTGCTTTGTCCAAGGGATACCTGAAAGGCTAATTCTTAGTAATAATGTCAGAAATCAAGCGATGATGTTACTGAAATTTTTCCTGTACTGATTTGATGCCTTTGCACAGTTTTGCCTGAGTTCCAGACTTTAGGGGCAAAATTATACTTGTTATCATGCCAAGATGACAGAAATGTCAAGCACCAAAGAGAAGCCATTATTAGTCTCATCTTCAGGAGCTCAACAATTTTGTAAATCAAACCCCTCACATCGGGAGAAGGTGTGGTGGCAACCTATGTGGGAGCACTAAGTAGTGCCTCATCCCTCATCTCCTACAGCCAATTCATGGCAAGATCCTCCAGTGGAACACCGAAGGGGGGGCAGCACCCTGAATCTCTCCAGTCTAATGTATAATGCAATGCCAGCCATAATTTAGCTCTACGGTTTTGCAAAAAATACATACACAAGAACAATAACTATTTACAAAAAAGGTTAACAGCTCCTTCCCACAGTGAAGTGAATGCCCCAGAACACAGACAACAGCTGTGGAACGCCTTTTATTTCTGGTAAAACTCTTCCCCCTGCACCTCCAAGATTACCACAGCATTTTAAAAACGTCATGAACACTGAATTTTTGAATTACTTAAAATTTGCTGGATGGGCGTAACAGGACTCAAGTCTTCAACAGGGCAGTAACAGCCCTGGTCATTAATATTCCCATCCGTATTTTCAAGCAGGTAACAGCATAGAAAGTTACTGGGTCTTTAACATCCCCCTTCAAGTCTCTTACCTGGCTACTCTTAACTTCACTACTAGAAAGCACAGTAATTCTCCATGGAACTTTGGCAACTGCACACCCTTTAGAACCACACTTTAAATAAAACAATGCAAAATCAATACATATTAAATAACAGACACAAACGGGTGTGGGGCTTGAAGTGCCACTTCCTTGAGAAAGTGATTCCAAACTAGCTCTTGTCTATGTCCACTAAGGAGACTGTTTTGTCCTCCAATACATCTGTATTTATTCCCATCTGCAATGCTTTCATTTCACCACTTTAATGTAACAGAAAAAGGCTGGCTATCATCATAAAAACCCACCAACTGCCACTGCTACTACTACATCACTACATAGAAGGTGGGTTGCTGCAGAGTTTTTGTTCTGCATTAGTAAAAATTTTCTTGTAATTTTTTGAAGAAGTTTCCCATTCCATGGTAACACAAAACAACAAATGTCCTTCCGGGGGAAATCAGTCTCCATCAAAATAGCCAGAAGAAGAAACATTTTTAACATCTGTGAAATCCAAGTTTCTTTAGAAAGAGCAGTGAATAGCACTACTGCTTTTCCCATACAAGAAAAGGAGAAATCGGAACACTATTCCTGTGAATGGCTTTGTAATAATTACGCATCCTGACTGCTGAGAAATTACAGGATATACCTATATCCTGTTGGCAACCCAAAAACACCCTGCTTGATTAAAAGATGTATTTAGGTATTCATTAGCTAACCAAACTGTTGCAACATTAAAGCTCCTGTTTCTTGTATCTACATCAACTTGAAAGAACTTGTTATCACCAAGACCTTTGTCAAGAGAACGAAATGAAAATGAAGAAAAAGAAAGCGTCCTCTTTTAAGGAGTTACTAAACAAAATCCCCTTATTCTAGCAAAAACTTTTAATGATAACTAAACCCAGATTGTTTTATGTTTACTAACTTTGTGGGTTTCATTTTTCCTAACTCTGTTTTTTTTATAATCTTCCTTAACTACTTTCTTCATAAGATTTGTTTTAATCTCTAGAGAATACTTAGCCAAATCAGGTAAGCCAACTGCTATCAGCAATAGTAACAAAAGCAGGTTGTTGAAGACTATACAGCAGTCAATACTGAACACAGGCATTCAAGCAGTGAATACCCAGTCTTCTGCATCCATCTAGTTTCTTTGGCTGTGTAGGTAACAGTATTTACAAAATCACCTTGACTTTATGCACTAATCTACTCTGTAAAATAAAAAGCAAAAGTATAGAAGTTTTCAATCAATTTGGAAATTATAGCATATTAAAAAATCAAAATAAAATATATACAATATAAAAATACTTTTTTTTCTTTATGAAGGTTATAATATATGTCTATAATATACAATATGTTGAGCCATCAGTCACAGCTACAGTATTTACAGATGCTTCCACTCTATGGCTGGACTCTGGGTATAGTATCTCCCTGGGGAAATTCCTCGATTTCAGCATGAAACATCAGTTCTAAAAGAGGAAGAAAAGAAATACGTTTTATTTTAAAAGTTTCACCTGAATACAATTTCTTTACTCCTGAAAAGTGCTCTGGCATTCCCCCAAGTCTCCTGCTTTACTTCCCAATCATAATATCAACAACTCAGCAATGGCAAGGGCCACCACTGTCTTTAGACAACTATTGCTGTCTCCCCAAATTAATGGTATCAGCAATGATGTTAGCAGCTCATCATCCCGCATTCAACCTGGGTACTGAGACAGAACTCTGAAGGAGATTGAAGGACTGTTAAAGTTTTGAGCGTCCGACTCAAGAATGAAGATTTCTGTTGACTTGTTCATTTATGGATATATCTGCTCTATGTATCGAAGCATAAGTTAGCAACATGACAACCTGGGATAGAAGGAATTGCAAATGATACTGCTCGCAGCTAGCTGTCACCGAGGCAGCTCAGGCATGGGAGACAGCCTAAGGTCAGCAGTGAGACGGTCCTCGTGGAGAAATTTGGCTAGGCACGCTAAGCAGCTGATGAGGTAGCCCTTGTGGAGCTCTGTGCTGTTGAGGGTAGTTTTCTCATATCTGGGTTCCCTTACGTATCTATACTGCACCCTCAGCATAGGCGTACTTTCTGTCTTGATAACAGCACGCTCAGCATATAGACCAGGCTGTGTTTGCCAACAACTTGGCAACACGCTAAAAGTTACACAATCTGTACATGAAACAATGTGGTGTATCCATTTAAGTTCACAAGTTTTTACTACCTCATCCCTATAGACTAAATTTTCTTTATTATTTGGGATCAGTCTTAACAGAATTTCTCTCTTGAAATTTCTGAAGCAGGTTTTCTAATCTTAGTAGACATGTGTAAATATATATTAAAAAAAGCTGATCAAAACTTGAGTTAAATTCTGCCACTGGCTTCCTTGAATCAGTCTTTATTATGCTCCCTACCTGGAGGTGTTCAAGGCCAGGCTGGGCAGGGCTTTGAGCAACCTGGTCTAGTGGGAGGTGTCCCTGCTCACAGCAGGTGGGTTGGACTGGATTATGTTTAAGGTCCCTTCCAACTCAAACCATTCTATGATTCTATGATTTTAAAAATGGGTTTGAAATACAATTCAAACTTCTATTACAAATTGTACTGTCAAAGATTGTAAAGGCTGCCACCTAGGATTTTTTTTTAGCTCATGAAGTGAGTTATTAGAAATCAGCAGAGTAACTGCGGCCAGCTGAAATACAGAAATTTGTACATTAAAATTCTAAACTAATCTGAAGAAGCATGGTGAATCTTCTTCAGCCTCCCAAACACAAATCTGAGCTTCAACTTATGATTCTCTTTGGATACCTGTTGACTCTGAAGTTGAAACTTATGATTTTTATGCATGTCATAGCTTCAAGTCACAGGTTGCATGCACTTGATAGAAAACCTCAGTTATTATACAGCTTTTGGATCCCAGGTGGAACAACAAAAGGAAGAAGGCCTAGTCTCTAGCAAAGCTGCTTCTAAGAAAAGGGGATGACTTGCTTGTCCCCTCCTCCAACCTGGACCAACACAAGCAGTCCTCATTTGAAGCCCTGTTCTGTAAGCACAAGTGTGACTTTTCAAAGCTTTGGAGCTCCCAAAACTACTACTGAAAATAATATTGAAGTCTAAATGCATTCAGCATTTGCAAAAGGAACATTAATAACATTTGGGAATTTTCTAACACACAAGCAGAATAAATACATTTAAAATACTCAAAACACTGTTAAAGTAAAAAATATTTTTCCCTTTATTGATCCCAAATTGATGTTGCTTCAGACAGGGCAAACAAATCTTTTCTTTCCTTTTTAAATTACTGTTTTTTCTTTATAAAATCAAACACAGACACCAAGATCCTAAGAAGCACTTGTTTTGGAAAGTTGCTAGGAGATGCCTGTTTTCAATCAGCCACAAAATTCTCAGGACTAGTCTTGAACTCCACACAGCAGATACAAGCCTGAACAAACAACAGTTTGCATATTAAGTGTTTCCTACCTTCACTGTAGTCTAACTCCGGTCGATATGACAATAAGATCCAACTTGTCCCAACCAGAATAGACACTACCAGATTCACCACAACCCACGGCTGAATAATTTCTTCCTCTGTACCTGCCATCCTGTGAAAAACACATCAACCCATCAGTCAGGGGTTTGCTGGCAAATACAGGTTACAATAATAATTTCAAGAGCGAATCACAAAAACAACCTTGCTAAACCAGATGTGAAAACAGAACTACTTCTGCCATCCTGATGATGTCGCATTGCAAAAGCTTGGTAAAGACAGCGACTACCAAAGTCAGCGACTCAGCTAAGAAACCTCACTGTCTCAGAGAATGTCCACTTGTAGATTTCAACAGCTGATAAAAACCAAATTGGATGGTCAAATTTTACTGTGGTGAAAGACACCGCACAATGTCATCAGACCATTTTTTTTAGGCACTTCCTCATGAGGCAGCAAGTCAGTAAAGTCTATCTGGAAGCCAGTGCAAGGACTTGTGTACAGATGCTGTGGGGTGGATGAGACAGGGTTTTAAGAAGGTTGTGATTTAAGTTAGCTGATGCCTTTCCTACTATCATAACAGCAGCACGTTGTGGTTCTGTTACTAGAACCTAGGCTTTTGAATAAACAACAAATATTTATAGAAGCCCTAAAAAAAAAAATCTAACTGCCCAAACCAGCAAATTTTCATGTAAATGCTTTTGTTCTACTTCTTCTGGTCTATTTTAAAAACTCATGCTACTAGAGTTTAAGTTTATTAGGTATCTATTTCAGAAAGTAAGTTTTGGATGGGATCTCCTAACATGAAAAAATGCTTCATATTTAATGGCAGCTGTGTCTGCTAAGTCCCTGCATCCTATGGCAGACACACCACTTTTTCATAATACCATAGTATTAATTTCTTGGACAAAAGAAACAAAAAAAACCCAAAAAACCCCCCAATGTTGATTCTCAACAGAACATCCTGCCCTTGAACATAAAATGTTACCTCAGTAAGGTCCCATTTCTCCAGCAAAAGATTCTTAAGATTCCTGCCAAATGACATTTACAGCATCATTCCAACAGGCTCTTGTTTGAGGCATAAAGGATTTGCCACCAACATGACCGAACCCAGCCTTCAGTTCTTCTTTTTCAGTAAAATTATCAAAGATTCAGGACAAGCTCAGGCAAAGGCAGGTGTAGTAATTAAATCCTTCATTAATATTTTCTTATGTACGTGGCAGAATCTTTCCAATACACCAGTCTGACTAAGGTTCCTAAGTGAGGTATGTTACAATTCACAGAAGTGATTTCCTAAGATTCCTACCAGATGCTGCCATTTTCTGAAGGTGGTGTGTAGAGGTTAATTCTGTCACACGTCATCTGCTGGCTTAAGGATAAGATAAGAGCAGCAAAGTACACTGGAAGAAATGGAATTAGTAGTGTCAGATACAGACCCCCAAAATGCTGTCCATCATGACATGACAATTATCACTACATTTTGTTTCTGTTCACTCTTTTGCCTCGAGTGATAGTCTCCTTTAATTCATTCTCCTTTCTTCAACATTCCCCTGACCCATCAAAATCTGGTTTCTGCACATTTACAGTCCATCAGCTATATCAAAGGTCTTGTGGTTCTGGTTTTAGCTACATCTGTGTTTTGTACTGAGAGGTGGGAAAAGAACTATTTCACTAATAGCCCTGCTAATGCTACTACTGCAAATGCTTTAAAAAATAAATAGCAAAGTATTCATAGCCTCTGAATGCTACTTTCAACTACTGAACAGATAACTTATTCTAAATCAGAAAATCACCAGGGAGGAAGATTTCACTGAAAACACTATCGAGGATTTTTGCATTTACTGTCTTCCCTGGACAACTTCCTAGCTGCTTCAAAATACTTACAGAAAGAGGCTACTGCTGCTGAGTTCAGGGTAAGAAAGCCCCTCAGTGCAACTGATGCTTTTGCCAGATCAATCCTGATAACAAAAACAAGAGTCACTAACATCCCAGTAAGACAATAATATTGTTCCTCTAACAGAATTCTATTGTTCTTTCACTTTTTGCAAGATACCTTCTTCTTCCTCCGTTACAGTTCCTAATACACAACCATATTCCCCACACATGGCCATGGTCCTCATTATGCCAAATCCAAAAAAGACTGAAAGTAAGGAGGATGTTCCATGAGGTTTGTAGCTTTCACACTAAAGTCCCTTCTGAAACAGGGAGAATGTGGAGAGATCTGTCCTCTCTCTAATCCATACCATTCATTTCAGTGTCCACACCACTGAGTTATGCTAATATAACTGCTCACATAGCTTACACCAGTACAGGAGCCATTAAGAATAACTCAGGCCTTCTCCCTGTCACCACTCCATAAAAAAAATTAAAAAAAAAATAAAAAAATCACAATTTCTTCCATAGCACTGACTCCTCCCCTGGCTTATCTTGCTGCCATGGAAACTATCTGTACCTAAAAGAAACATCTATAACATCAATAAATCTACTCTGTTTATGGTCTTTTTTTGCTTCTTTTTCTGTTCATTCCTACTCTTAAGCTGCAACACAGAAACCCCAGCTAAGCCAGGAAAACTGTTTATACAGCTATGCGCATAACTGACTGGGGAATGGATTCACAGGAAAAATAATTGGACAGAAACATCAGCTGTTCTCCACCCCTCTCTTCCACAAAAACCAAAACCAAAACACATCAGCTTTCTCTTCCATCTGCTTCACCTTATGAACACACAAACAGCACCAGCACATAGAAGCAAGACTGCAGGCAATGTACCAGAAAGGGTAACAAAGCTCTGAATGCACAAGTATACCCTTTACCTGTATAGCCCCCATGTGTAAGATCATTCTTTAAGTACACCATATAAATCATCAACTGCAGATGAAAACGTGCCATAGGAAGGAGAAAGGAATATCTTGCTCACAGATTACATACACCTTTCAAATAAAAACATATTTTACCTGTCAAAAGCTGAGACTGTACTGATAGACAGCAACAAATAGAACAAACTTTGAGCTGGGTATGCTAGTGTCTTATACTGCTCAAGCAGGTTAGAAATCGTGGAAAACTGATTTCCTGCCAAAATGTAGATAACAATGATGTTCCATACAGCATACCCAGCAAGGAAGCCATGGGTAAAGAGTCCGATCACCCTGAATGGAGAAAAGAATATTAGACAAGTTTAATATCTTGAGTTAGTGAAGAACAGATAGAAAATGCCTATGAATCCATCTGTTCATCCCTGCTGCTCTTCCCAGCCTTTCACAGATTGTTTCTGAGTGCTTTTTCTGATCTAGTTTTAAAACATTCTAAGCAATGGGGCTTCTGCTTTCTCCCTTGACAGACTACACCAGAACCTGAGCACTTAACAAAGAAAACAGACGGTTTGCCTGGTCCTATCACTGCTTCAGTTCATTACTGCTACAGGAATCAAATACTTTCACTCACTGCCTGTAGCCTCCCAGGACCACTGCCCCTTACACTCACACAATGCTCTTAAACTTATCCTTGAGTCAGTCTTTTCATTATCTTCCTCGCTAAGAAAAAGCTTAAAAAGCAGCACAAACTCCCAGATAAAATACACCAGAGAAGAAAATGGCTGTGATCTTCCCGTTCTGTATCACAACACAACCAAAAAACATATTTTGTTTGCTATTACGTGCAAGCTTACGCCCCAGTCCAATTTCACTCCTCCTCCTTTCTCACCAACAATGATTTTTCTTTGAGAACTATCTGAATTCAAGTATTTTCATTCTGGTCATACAGCTGATGGGCAAATCTGATTTTGTAACACGTTTTTTCTGCAGGTCTCATGATATTTTTCTTTTTAGATCAATCTCTTATTACTACATTTTTTCTGAATCTTTGCAATATGACTTCCTTACTTATTCTTTTTATAAGTTGCATTTCACAAGTGATGTCTAGACTAGAAACAGATATTCTTGACACCAAATACCAAAAGCTAGAGGACTGAGAAACTTTATACCTGTTACATCCCGAACCGCCATTTATTGTCAATATCCAGAAGAAAGAAAGATACATCACAATGACAAAGAAAAGGTGTTAACTTTTAGGGAGAAGGAAAAAAAAACCAAACCCAAACCAAACCAACAACCCTGATTTCTGCTTATTTACATCAAAACATTTCTCTTTCACCTGAAACTTCGGTGGACTGAGAGCGCAACATCTCTGGTAGTCCATGAAGCCTTCACATCCATAAGTACATTGATATTTTCAGTCGTTTTAATAAATTCTGCACGGTCAGCTGCATGAAAACGCCCTGAAAGAATGAGGAAATTAGTTTTAAAGGGTACTGTTACCTTCCATCATAATTTCTATATTAATACTTATTAGCGTTAAAAAGCTGTAAGCGTCAGAAGTTCCATCAGAAAATTTCTTCTGCCCTTTTTCAGCTTACATTCATACCAGGATGCCTCTGTCAGTGTGATGCATCCTGACGGGTCAAGCTACGGATTTAAGAATGTGCAAGGGACTCTGGGTAATTACTCAGTGTTCCCTGGTACAAAAAAATCAAGCCAAACCCAAATTAAACAAAAAACTTCCACTTGAAAAGACTTTTTGCAATATGATACTTGTTTCTTGAGGTACTATGCCAGTATTGGGTCAAATAAGCTCAGCTGGGTATTATCAAACAGCCTTCTCCACTCATACCATGGAATTAAAAAAAAATGAACCAAACATGCTAGCACAGCAGCACTAACATTCACGATTGAAAAATTATCATGTATATGTATTTCTAAATATTTTTTGTTCTGGAAAACTTTTTTTAAAAATTCTTCCCAATACTACAATATCTTTAATTTAAATACAGTAATGCTTCCTTTAATTGCAAGAATGTCCTTACATTACTTAAATCACAAGATGTACTTACGATTCTTTTCAACAAACACTTTGCTAACGGGCTGGCTAATCCCAGTGGGAGCAGCAAACACAGGCTGCTGATCTGGGCTCTTTCTGTTCTCATCATCAATGATGTCTTCCTCCTCCACTTCCAGGTCATTAGAAGTGTGCATTTCAGCTGGCCGAGGTTTCCTATCAGCACAGAGCATACAATAAGGCAGAGAAAGAATAGGAAGTAAAATATAAAACAGGAAGGCTCCTATGAACATTTAACATGTCCAACTTGACTGACAGGAACTGATCAGCCTACTGACTTGTGCAATATTACCCCCGTTTATAATTTTAAGGACTAAAGTTCTCATGGAGTTAGCTAACTAAAACCACAATGCTAATCCTTGATTTTGGGGCTTTTCTCTCTATTTATAATCCTTCCTGTGTCAAAACAATAAAGTGGGAAGAAATACATATCAAGAGATCAACAATTAGAAAAAACAACAACCCAAAACTAAATAGGAGGCCAAGAAAGCGGACGCTTTCGGAAGAAAGATGATTAAAATTATTTGAAGTCATAGTTCTTGGAGAAAAGGCAAATAAAAAAAAGATGAGAAAGCAGTGAAGTTTCTCATAAAATTAAGAAAAAGACAGTGAAAAGAATGAAAGATAGCAGTTACACATTCTAATTTTTCTCATGTCTGCGACTGAAATATTAGGCTCACGTAAACGTATTCAGAACTGTAATGCATCCAGGTATGCATAAAACAAAGTGAAGAAAGTTCCATCTTAACCCTGGAAAAAACTGCACGCATACTATTAATTGCACAGGCTGAATGGTATCGTGGGCTTTAAGATTCTACATTTTCGTAATGTGACAGACATTGCACAATACTACTCAGCCATGTTCAGTATCATAGTTATTCCGAACTGTGATCTATACTAGCTCTGTCTCACTTTGTTTTTTTTCTTTGTCTGCGGATCACTGTTTCTTCAGCTTCAGGGACATCCATGCCATTTCCATTCTGAAATAGGGATGCAACATTTTTCTGGGTAAAAGAAGTCTCAGAATCTGAAGATTTAAAATAAACCACATGACAGTTTCACACCTTTCATTTAAATGGAAATACATTCACTTAAATGCATATTCTTTTATTATATAAGCACAGTGGCAAAAAGAAGTTATGATCTGCTGAGCTGTGAATGATATAAAGGATCTATTTTATCAATGCCAAAACTGTAGTGCCATTATTTGCATAAGAGTTTGTACCCCATGGAATCTGAAACCAGAAACTGAAACCCTAAGCTACCATTCATTCAGAGATTACTTTTAGCTGTTCTAAGTACAGAAGCAGATGAAATGTTTTAAGTTAAAACACATGTTGGCCAAACATATTGTGGTGTTATCAAGTTGTATTCAGCACTCATATCTCACATACCGGTAGGTACTTTCTTCTTCTTGCGTTTCCTCTGAGGGACATCAAGAGGTTCAGGAGTCAGAGGCTCACTGCTTTCAGACTGCCGACGAACTGCTGCTGGGACGATGCCATCTGAAAACCAGATGAAAAGATCCAGCAACCTTAATCCAGTGCCACAGAGAAACAGGCAAGAAAAAGCTGCCTTTGCCTACATTGTGCAGAATGGCCTTATTTTCCCAGCTTACAGCTGAGATGAAAGTGTATTGGCTAGGAAATAAAAGAACTGCAAAACAAATGTGATAAGAATACACAAAGGTGATAGCTGACAACCCTTCTTTCACCCTGAGAGTTTCATGCCCAGAAGGAAATTTAAGTATCCAAGAAGTAGCACAATTCACATTTGGGCATGCAACAGAGGAGTGACTGAAAGAAATCTCCTACAGGAAAGAACTATACCTTTATATTTCTCCTATTTACATGCAAAGATTATAATGCAAGGGACAAGAAAAAAAATTAAGTTTGTTAAAAGCTGATTCACACAGATATGTGCTAAGGCAAAATAGTGTCATATCAACGAGAAATTTAAATGCTAAAAATCCACGACAAGAATAAAGGACGAGTAGAAAACACCACCACCGAAGGATGTTTACTCCACTCTATTAATTACTATGCTTTGGAGGAACTACATTTCCATGAGAGATTAGCATGAATTCATCAAATACTCTAGCAGCTGTAGCAACAATTTGCACAATCAGAAGTAGAAAGACAAGGTTACTTCTCCATTTTACATCACATCTGCCTTTTTACAGCTCTTTCAAGTACTGCAGTTTTTATACCAACTGAATTTATCTTTGTTTTCACTTCAAGCACAGATTTTCCCACCTTTTATAAATCTTTGCTGTGTTAAAATGCAAAATTAACCAGGAAAGCAAAGGCTAAAGCCAAAGTGTACTTTGCACCATCATTCAGCTCACTGAAAATAAGTGTAAACAAAATTAGATCCCTGGGAAACCCTGCTAGCAACAGCTCTCCTTGCTGAATTTAAAAGTCTTAAGGTGTACTGATCAAACCATCATACGGACCCAAGTCAACTTACAGAAATTCATTAGATTCTGTCAACACATTCTGCTTTATCAAAATAGATCAGACTTGCAATCTTGCTTAAATCATTTGTTCTGCAGAACTGCTGCTTGTAAGAATATAAAACTCTAGTGATAGTCATCTTTTAGGCTTTTAATCCTTCAATGATAATGGAATGATTAACTTCTGACTTTATTTGGCCAAGGACTGAAACTGAGCCAATTTGTTAAATGAGTTTTATCTTAGTTCATTCAAAAATCCAAGCACTTAACACATTCAACAAAACAAGCAGCTGGACGTGACTATTTAACGAAGTATCAAAAAATTTTAGAAAGGAAAAAAAAAGCTGAAATAAACAAACTTTTTCAATTCAGTATCAAGATGTGCTCTATTAGCAGTAGCAGGAAT